TCAAATGATAGTTGATAAGGGATAATGCCCATGTGAGGTGTCCATAATCAGGAATTAATGGATAATGTGAAGGCCAGAACCATCCGACGTGCAGAGTCCATTACTTCTTGATTGTGGACACCTCAAAGGGCTTTATCCTGCTTATACCGTGGTCACACATAAAATAAGATCATTCATTTATATTTTCCTGCGTTTTTTAATCAAAATATACGTTTGCTCAAGCCATAACTGAAAGTTTATACATTTGAAAAATTTACTCCTAGTTAAAGTAGTCCCAAACTTACAAGGTACATAGTGATTTCAAACAAAAGAGGGCGTGTTGAGCCATTTTAAACCCATTTTGATAAATTTGGTAAGAATGTCAATATTTACACAAGCATTTATGTGTTTCATTACAGTATGGTCATATCAATTAGTTTACAGCTAAAAAAACAGTTTTAGGTTAAAGTTTGTCTTTAAAATAAGCCTAATGAGAGTGACAACAAAATCCTAGAAGGACCAGAGTTGTCCTTTTTAACTTCAGTCCTGTTGAAATGATATCTTACTGTATGTAGACATCACTGTCTCTGTGACACACCCTAAATAGAATTAGAGAGACCCAGAGAAACTACCTCTCATCTAGTTAGTGTTCCCCCTAAACTGATTTAATTGTCTGTCTGTATTTATAATGTCATCTCTTCTGTCTGGAACTTTCTTGAGATGTCAGAGAACTAACAATATCCGACACCGTCTATGTGGACATGTTTATGAGAGTCAGCTATAGAAATTAGTGTCACTATGGTTCTATTTTGTGCAGACAGGATCTAAAGCAGTAGTGTTGCCTTATTAGAGACACAGTTGAGTGTGTCATTTTGCTGCCAGTAATTCCTGCTGAGTGCTGGGCTTTGAGCCGAGCTCCTCTATTAAGCCTGATAATTGTGGGTGAATAGACATCATATTTGTTGTGTTTCTCCCTTTTTGGTCCATTAAAGAAAGAACCATAAAGACAGGGAACAATTAAAATAATGGCCCCAGGCTCATAATAAAGAATTTTATGTAGGATTTTTTTTTTTTTTTTGCATGACGGCTGTTTCCAGTAATGTGAAATCTTTATCATTTGCCAGATGAGAAATGAAATCTTTGTATTGCGAGATCATAAAGCCACAGGGTCTCTAAGCCTTATTATTCTTTATCCCACATTATATATATATATATATATATATATATATATATATAGTTTGTTATTCAGGGTGTCTTATTTTACTGTGTGTGTTCCTCTGTTAGATATTATACTGTACTGCAGCAATAAGTGAGTCATATTTTAAGGCCATTTTAAGTAATCCCATTTACTATTACACATGAATAGCTATTTCTATTACATTAATAATGTTATTTTCTATCTTTTATAACCTTAAATTTATTATTTTTGCTTCAGTTATCCACCAAGAACATTGTAAACCACAGTGGACAAACTAAGATTGTGTACACAGCAGAGCATTGCAACATTACAGTGTCCAACAACGCTGATCATGACGTATCTAATATTGATTATATGAATTTTAAATACAAGCACTGATGGCCTTGAAGCCACCATGAAAAGCTCCTCCCGATGCTCTTGGGGGGAGCTTAGAAGGGGGATTAGAAGTCAACAGTTTAATACAGTTCAACAACAAATTGTAATATACTGCATGTCGCATTCCTGGGTCTTTTGTGCTGCCCCTGAGAATCCAAACTTGCACCAGTTTTCAGCAATCGCACAGGGTGAAATCAATTGTAGAAGAGGCACAGACAGCAATTTCTCACTCATGGTAGCCTCAGTAGACCAGAATGTAATACCAAACAGTGCAGCCTTAAAAATCCACTTGCATACAGTCAGGGCCTCATCTCTCACTTTTTCTGTGGGGTTACTAAAATACTAGAATGATTTACAACCACTGGCTTTTATTGTTTGAGGCAATGCTGCTCAATGCTCAAAATGCTGATATATAATTTCAAGCTGGAATTAGATGCTGTTACTGAATGGTTTCATGGCCGTAATTTCTCGCAAATCTTTATTATAGTCAGTCTACAAAATAGATAATGGAGCTGCATTCTGCTACACAGTATGATTATTAGAGAATGGTAGAGGAAGTATTCACATCCTTTACTTAAGTAAAAGTACTATACACTGTAAAAATACTCTGTTACAAGTAAAAGTACATATTTGGTAAAAGTATGTAAGTATAATCAGAAAAATAAGTATTTAGTTGATGTCAAGCTCATTTTTAACTTTTTTGCATAGGACAGCAACTACTAATTTACTACTTATAATATTTTCGCAATACGGTATCATGCCAAAGCATCTAATGCACACGCCAGTCCACCGTGACAGTGTCACGTTATCAAGATATGCTCATTCCACGGTCATAATAAATATGCAACTTCTGGTTACACTTTCAAAATAAAGCCAGCTACAGTTGCAGTTTGGTTAGGTTCAGGCAACAAAAACTACTAGGTTTAGGAAAAGATTTGACATGTTGACTTTTGGTTTCACACGACACGTGGAATAAATGCCCTAAAATACAGTACTATCCAAGTGGTGATACATTTGGATTTGTCAAAGATACGGACAGTACATGCAGACAGTTTGATATGATATACAGATCTGATACCATTGGATCTTTCCAGATACAGGTCGTTTTTCCCAGTGCCAGAGTTTTTCTTTAGATGTTTTTGGCTGTAGTATCTCTACAAACCTTAAATGGGTCCATCAGAGATTATATTTGTGTTGAAGTTCAGGCCATTTGGCATTTTAAGGAAACCTTTGGTCCAGTTATACACATCTGCTGTAGAACGTGCTTTATCATAAACTTCCTTTGTCATAGTATGGTCTGGTCTGACTACTAGAAAATAGTTAAGACTGCATCTAACATTACCGGCCACTCTCTCCCATCTCTGTTAAATTTATAAAATTCGGCCTCATAAAAAGATTCAGCACATTGTTAGAGATGACTCAAAGCCAGCAGCTCTATGAGGAAATTCCCTTTGGGAGGAGGTTCAGACACCTCTGTTGACTGCTTTAAAAGAAGTACATTCCCTGAGGCTATTCAACTCTTGAATTGTAAACTTCTCACACTTTAAGATATCATGGTTGGTTTTTATACTTATTTAGAGTATTTTCTGTTGTTTTTTTTTACTATTTATTACATATGAATTACAAACATCTCACACTTTGAAGTATATGTCCTCATACCTAAACGACTGAACAGGCTAATTGCCAGTGACTTCCAAAATAACATATATGCCCATTGTAGAGTACCGTCATCACAGGTTATCATTGTGAAGTGATATGTTTGATTAGGTTTAGGCACCAAAACTACTTGGTTAGGTTTAGGAAAAGATGGTTTTTGGTTACATAAAGTTAATCCACACCTTCCAGACTGAGTCCAGAATCCCATATTTGTATGAATTTCTTATATGCAATGGCAGACTCAGGCTGTTCTAGGGCAGGGGCAGAGAAAAAATACCATTAGGATTCTAGTGGGCTAGTGGTTGTCATGTTTTATATCCCATGGGGGCATACAAGAGTCTAACAAAAGAATATAGAATCATGGGAAATGTAGGATCCAGTGTTTTAGGACTCGACCCATGCTAGTGACCAAAAGTCTGAATATCTTGGCCTCTGCTGTTTGGGTGAATCAAGATTTAAAATCAAAGCAGCAAACTCCTCTAATCATTCTACTTGTTGTTTTTTAACAACAAAATAATTTCAGAATTTGTGCATCAACTTTTACTTTTTCAAGTTTACTCTAATCCAAACCAAACACTAATTCATATTGGTTAGTAACTCTGATTTAATTTATGGTTGATGAGCATTCAAGACATTTTTGTTTGTATTTATGTGAAAAATTAACACACCAATTAACATAAATATCACAAGCATAATGTTAAACAGTTTTAATTATTTTCCTGTTTTTAACTGAGGTTTTGAAGGATCACATCTCCTGGGATTTTGAGAAATCCTTGAATATACAAACTCTTTTTCATGAAGCTACCGTAAAAGCAACGCTGATGAAAGTTGACATTTGCGCTCGCTGTCACCTAACAGTGATTATATGATAATGGCCAAAACTATCCTCAGCATAAGCATACTCATTCATGGACAATGATTCAATTTAAGCTTTTACCTCAAAAGGAGTTGGCAACCTGTATAATCTCAACACCACATGAGGTCAAAAGAAAAGAAAAGAAAACTCATGCGCTCCCTGTGCTTTATGGGAAGATATTTTTCATAGCAGCATTTGGATTCCGTTCTTCCATTTATTCACTCTGCATTTCACTCTGGAAACCCTTTAGGTCCTTTCGTTTTGGTTTGCTCTGTGGGCACCCACATGTGTTGTTTTATTTTGTCGTTGTATGAGTGACCTTTACATCCTGTTCCCTCCCTGAGTCTCATTGATTTGCTTTTCAAAGGAATGTGAAAGCAATTTTTTTAGTCATTTCGCCTATTCACTTTAGTGTTTCTCAGTGTGATGTTGAGGGTCTTTCTAGCTGAAGTGGTCCTGTACTGAATGACTAATACACCTTAGCGCCAAAGATTTGATGAGAAGTAGCATGTAAAGTACATCTCAAGAAATTTAGGCGCTGACTGAGGAAAACTGGAAAGCCACAACTTCTATATTCTCCTGACATTTTTAATGAATGTCACATGCTATGGATTTAACACTTTGAGCTGCTCCTCATTAGACAAGATATATTAAATAAGAGATAGATAGATAGATAGATAGATAGATAGATAGATAGATAGATAGATAGATAGATAGATAGATAGATAGATAGATAGATAGATATAACTTTTTTAGATGTGACTATGGTCAGATCAATTTGATACTGATGCTAGTGTTTGTTATTTTCAGAATGTCTTGAGAACTGCTGGTAATGAAGGTGTTTAGTCGCTCTTTAAACTTCAAACATTACATATATCTGAGACTTTTTTTATCTTTATAAATCATCATGATGACCTGCCTGTGTTTAATTTGCAGGGGCTCAAGCCGATGGACCACAATGGGCTTTCCGACCCCTATGTCAAGTTGCACCTACTGCCAGGAGCCAGCAAGGTGAGTGTCATGTTCAATTCATAATAAATCTGTGCTGAATTTTTTGACTTCCCGCGACTGCATGTTTTTTAATATGAAGACCGTTTTGCACTGCTCTTCCCGGTGAACGTGTGGTCAGTAGTGTGACGACTTGTTCCTTGTATGTACTGTATAAAGCCTTTTCCTGTTTTTCTTCTATTTCTATCACATATCCTTTGCCTCAAACGTGTTTCTTCCTCTCAGATAGCGATACTTCTTCATCCTTTAATGTTGGATTGAGGGCAGACTGGGTTTTTCAGTGACTCTCTATTTCCTCTTGAGGCACAGAGTGGTATTACTAATATTACAATCCAGGGCTAGCGGGTTAGCATGTTAACTTCAGTAGATATCTCCAGGGGCAGATGTAGAGGGGTGGCAAGGGTTACCAGCTGCCACCCCTAAAAAATGGTGTCAAATGCTGTCAAATGTTGCTCAATAATTAAGATTAATTTTTAAGATAACATGTTAAGAAAACTAAAATGAACACAAATATATATATATATATATATATATATATATATATATATATATATAGTTAACATAACAAAGCATTTAATCATATATATATATGATTTAATGCTTCACATTATGTTCACATTGTAAACGAAGTGAGACTCAGTGACATGCTTAATTTCAATGTAAAAAGAAACAAAAATGGAAGCACTGAACCCAGTATACACACAGTTGTAAATGTTGCTTGGTGTCCTCTCAGTCTCTCACTGGAATGACGAGGCATGGCTCTACGTGGATTCAATTCTTTGATCTTGTTAAAATGAGCTTTGATGGGTCAACAAACTTCCCTCATGTCTGAGTTTTCAGGAATACACATATTTTGTATTAAGAGTGTCTTGTGGTTTTCTCTGGGTTTGTAAATAGGCCCACATGAGGAGAAGGCTAATAATCTATTTCATGACTCAGGAAGCACCGCAGTGAGGGTATGTCAGTGCAAGGCTTCATCAATGTAAACAACATTAACAGAATGACCTAATGTACCCACTTACTAACGACATGCCTCACTTGTGAAGGCTGTGCCTCCTATCATCATGCTGTGAGCAGAGCTTTGGCCTGCTCAATGTCGCAAGTGGACGCACTTGAAGTGACGTAACTTATGATCTGTTCTGTGAGAGCCATTAAAGCCCTCATGGGTCTCCACATGTCAGACCCCAGTCGCTGCTTTTCCGGCATTATCATCACAAAATGGAAAGATGTAAATGCATCTTAAATTGCAACATTCAAGATGACTTTTTTTTTTATATAAGATAATGCATTCTTTAATTTGCTTGGGTCAGACAGGAGGCCTTGAAGTTGAATTAATCCTTTCATTAAAGTCCTGAAATGTAATCTACTTCATGTGAATGCGAGTACATTCCACAAAAGCAGCTTATTGAAAGTTAAAGCTGTGTGATTATTCATCTACCTGACTCACATCTCCCTTTCTGCTAATACCTTTTCAAGCTCGTCTCATTTATTCATTAGATCAGAACTTTGTAATTGTTAAGTACCTGCCCTTACCACTGAACTTCATCTTTGATTTGAGTCCACTGTTACGTGTGTACTTACACCTGACAGATATGTAAAAGAAGGATGAATAACCATGCAACTGTGTGCTAATTTACTGTGGGTCATTCTTTAATTCTTGGCATTGCTGTTCTGAGATAAGTCACACCCTGCAAGGCAAACAGATACTATTGTTATTAAAGGAAAAGTGCAATTAAGCCTATTAAGATGGCTGCAATAACAAAGCGAGACTGTCCATGTTGAACTATGAGCTAAGCCTCTTAGCACCTAAGACCAAAAACCTAAAAAATTAACAAATTAATACAATTAAACAGAAGAAAACTTTAAAGATTTAATAAAACTGATGTCACAAACAATGGAGACAAACTATGTAAAATACGTTCTTCTTTTTTTTAAAACTACTTACGTTCCAGCCACATTAGCAACCTCCAGTAGGCCGTAATGCTCACTACACACCAGAAAATAAACTCGTTGGATCAATTAAATGTTTGACAAGATTTTTCTCCATATTGTTTGTTATTGTATTATTACATTCAGAGTTTGGCAAAAATGTGAACTTACAGCATAAAGGAGGAGACATATGCATGTTGCAGTTTTTCTATGATATGGCTTTATGTTGAAATGCTAACATTCACATGCATATAGTAAGCTAAGTATTAACGACAGGGCAACAAAAAAAGATAAAAACATACAGTCATTAAGATAGTTGGAACAATAGGCAGGAAGACAGATGGACATAGCTAGAGCCCAGCATTTGTCATGGCTAAAAGTAAAATAGTGTAACAGCCCAGAAAAGTTTTTAGAGACCCTGGTATGATGACGGAAAAAAAAACTCCACAGCAACAACCATTTAGAAATTGTGAGTGATACAGAGGACGCTGCCAAAGGAAAAATGTTTTCTGTCGCTGCTGCGTGCAAAGTCTGGAGAGCTGCTATTTTTATTGTAAAGAATTCAACAGATACTGCAGTTCTAACAAACTCACTTCTCATTTTTAAATGAACATAAGTGGTTGAAGAAGTAGCAAGATCCTATTTCTTAAGTCAAAGTAGAAATACCATGTTCTAAAACTTCTTCTTTACAAATTAAGCCAGAGATACTTGCTTTTGGATAACGTTTTATCAGCAAAATGTACTTAAGGGATCAAAAGTATTCATTATGCAGAATGGCTCCATTCACAGTGTTATTATACTGTACATTATCATATCATAGTCTTATAATGAATACAGTAAAAATAGTATTTTAATGTTGTAGTTTGTGAATGTGGAGCCAATTTTAGATACATTACTGGGTAGATTAGTACTGGATTATATCTTATAAGCGAATATATGTGCCAAATGAATGCAGAGCAGTAGCATAGAGCACACATATGTGAAAATACAGTACTTGAGTAAATATAATAAGTTACATTCCACCACATTATTACATTTTGCCACGTAACCACTCAAGACTCTTGGATGGATCTCTGAACTCTGACTCAAAATAAACGTCTTCTTTGGTCTCTGCAGACAGATGGAAACAGTCATCATGTCTGCTGTGCATATGCCACCCATTATTGTTAGCAATGTGACTTAGTCCACTGTATGCTCAGCCAGACAATATGTTGTGACTTTTATTGTGCAGCAAATGTACAAAACAGTGTTATTAACATTTTCAGTCTCTTCATGTCTGACAGGAATAAATTATTGACTGTGTCATGTGTGCAGACACTGATGGTGCTTTGTTGTGACACAACCTGTTTTCTTGAAATTTAAAAATTGACTAATTAGTGAGACAGCACAGATAGAGTTGTGCTTATTAGCATGAGAATGTGTAATTAGCCATTCAGACAGAGAGAGAGCCCAGGGCCTGACAACTGTAATGAAACAATGGTGTAATAATTGTCACAGAACACATGGAACAGGCCCATAAAACAAATCAACAATCTGCCTGCTGTTGGTCTGAATTGGACTGCTCCTCCCCTTTAATCACTTGAGTTAAATCCACCAACTGTAGATATCATCTGTGATCATATCCATCTAACAGATTTGGGCCAGAGAAAGATTTCGCAACAACTTGAGACCAGATTGGTGTGTATATTCATCGCACCCTGAGGATGATTCAAATGATTTGCTTCTTGCAGCGAAAAAACACACTATAAACGCCGTTGTGAAAGTGTTTGTGTGCTCTTCATTCGGCTGAGATCAACATTCTGAAAAACTGCTTAGAAGTCAACAGAATTTGTCGAAAATACCATGTAGACACTCTCCCTTGCCATGGTTTGAGGCTAAAAATACTCTGAACCTTTGAAAGTAAATGACACATTATTACGTCAGTAGTGAATCACCACTTCATTCGTTCTAGATGGCAATTTTATTTAATTTCTCACAAGATAATTGCTCCTTCATAATGTTAAGTGTGGCTTTTCACAAGATTAACCCACTTTTGTATTGTTATGATTGTTTTAGATTATTGAATCAGATCTCATGTTTCTGTGACAAAAAAACATCAAAACATCTGTCCAATGTGAAAAAAAAAACCCACCCACCAGCTACTCTGAAGCTTTCTAATTTAAATGTTGTGTATTCCATGCACAAACTGAATTGTAAAAGCAACGGTGTGTGGTTTTTTATGCTCAAAGTTATTTCTCAACAAGCATACAAGTGTATTGACCGTGAGCTTCTCTGTGTTTTATCATCACTATGAGGTTGCAATGTTTTAATAATAATAATAATAATCATAATAATAATACACAAATGGGGAAATTTACCAGTTGCTTCCAAATTTTGATCACACATTGATTTTTCCCCATTATAACAACCTGTTCACAAGCAGGTGTGACTTCACTTAAACCTGTGTACCCTGAAAGCTAAACTAAAGTCTATATCATCACTGTAGTATTCTAAAAATATATAATTTTCTCAATTTGAGGATACCTGACCTTTCCTAGCAGTGGTAGTGCCTGTAGGACTACAGCATCAGTTAGGGGTGTCTGGGTGCCGCAGTTCAGGAAGCCGGCCTCTGGTCAGCTAGCTTTCTCTGTGAAAGTAGTGAGGAAGTGGAATTCCATACCCACAAACATTAGAGACTCATGAAGCTTTGCAGCTCTGGCTGAAGTCGGCACAAAAATGTCACCACCAATGATTGCTTTGTATCTACTTTATTTATTATCATATGAATTCTATTTATTATCTCACACTGATGGACTTTTATGTATTGTGCTGTTTAAGGAAATGTATTTACGGTTCTATGGTCGTATTTTTTTGTCTACCTGCCCAGGGACAAAAGATGCAAATGAGCCCACTCTTGTGTGATTATTTTTAATTGTGCGTTGTCCCTGCAAAAATAACGGATAAATAAATCATAAAGACAGGCATCCCAAGCCATAAACAAGTCATAATGCACTCTTCACCAAATATAATGCAATTTTAATGACCGAAACAAAATTATCTTTGGTATAATTTTTTCCAACTGGCACTCAGTGATG